CAGGTGTGGAAACGGAGAAAAAGCTTTGTTTTTTTTCGAAAATGACTCAATTTCGATCATATAATCCGATCGGTACATTAAGAGAAAAATATGCGCTGCTGTTATCGGGAACCTCGTCGTTGGGAATTAGAAGTTTTCAACTTTGCGCGGTCTACCGGCGCCGCTGCCGCCACCACCACCACCACCACTATCTCCACTACCATCACTACCGCCACCAATACCGCTACCACCACCATCATCACCACCACTAGCACCATCACCATCACCACCACCACCACCAACACCATCACCACCACCACTACCTCCACTACCATCACTACTACTACCAATACCGCTACCACCTCAACCACCACCACCACCAGCACCACTACCTCCACCACCATCACCACCACTATCTCGCCAGTAGCCACCACCGAACCTACCACTAGCTTCCTAAGATTGAATTGGCGGTGTTGAAAATCGCAACAGGGTTGCGAGAAGAGTCGACCTTAAGCAGTACGGCCTTAAGGGCGTGTATCCGCGCTCGTTCGCTGTCGAGCTGAGTTATAAATCGATTTGCGTCCCGGCCAATGAGGGTTGCAAGTGGCGCATTCGGATTGGCCGGTACCAAGACCACTCCCACAGTGTTAATAAAGGCTACGAACGAAAGCCGGTTTCACAACGCCACAATCATTGCTTCGCAAGATGCAACGTGTCTAGATGAGTCCTTAGTTGTACGAAACTCTTTTTTTCATGGAACAATGAATAATTTTTGTCCAGTGCAGTGTTTAAGCATTGGATATATCGTGATTGTAATTGTAACATGAGATTGCAGATACTAACCTATAACTAAAGCTATACATGTGGTATAAACTGCTGATTTTGTGGTAACTGATTTATTTATTTAATTTTATAACTTGTAATTATTTATTTAATTTTATAACTTGTAATTATTTATTTAATTTTGTAACTTGTAATTATTTATTTAATTTTGTAACTTGTAATTATTTATTTAATTTTGTAGCTTGCAACAGGTGCATTGTACATGTAATTAAATAATTATTTATTGTTATCTCGGCCTCATTCATCTGTTAATGCCATTTTTTCTAAACATAACTACCCTTTTACTAATTACTCGGGAGACTAAAAGCAAAAATCATCAAATTATAATTAGTATTTGAAAGAAATATTTGCGTCTATTATGAAGTAAATAGAGATAATATTGTCATAATGTACCGAGAATCTCTCGAAGTATCAATATCACACTTTTGCACGACAAAAGATTAGTTAATATTATGAAAAGTGCCTGACCGCGATGGAACACGTCGCAATCATTTGATATTCGCAATTGTAATAATACCGATACGTTATTCAACAATAGAAATGAGAGAGGGAACGCCCACACACATAATTACCCAGAAACATCGATAGCTTATGATATAATGGCAGTGCAATGAATTCAATATGATCCACATCATTTTCAGCTCACGTTATCAATTAATTAAATAAACAATTTCGTTACGTCATGAATTCATAATCTAATAAATCTAACTATTATCAATGCCGCGCTGTAATAACAAATTAATAAATTATCCGCCTGGCTGACTGCATGTCACACCAAATATTTCGCTCGACACTTGTGCCAAGTGATAATCGTTTCTTTCATTTTTTTGAAATTTTGCGAACATCCGCCTTCTTCACAAGTTTATCGCACTGTTAAGCTCGTCTAAGGGGCATCCGCATTAAGTTTCAGTTCTCATGATTCAGATTCGTATTGCTTGCGGGGAAGAGGAGGACTTTTGGCAATTGCGTAAAAATTCTGGGAAAATAGTAAGACACACACATGTACGCGTACTCGCACGCGTCATCGCATATGTGCGATGATACAACGACGAAGAATCGAAGAGAAATATCGAGAGTCGCACTACGGGCCCTGTTCGTACACTCCAGCCGTCTCATGATCCGGATTCGTGGTTTCATTCACGGCTGACCTGGCTGCGCGTCACTCGGGCTCAGCGAGCACCTACGAGCCAACATTCAGAGTCGTGCCAAGAGCCAGAGTCCCTCTTTTCTCCATGGTGTGAACCGTTCTGCCGTAGGCGTAGCCACGCTGAGGCGTCGACGTTGCTAAACCCCACCTTCTCGTTGGTAACTAGGGCTATGTCTACCCGGCTGGCTGTCTCAAAAAGCCGACCAATCCACGATGCGAGACGGCCACTGCCAGCGCGTAAAGTAGCAGAGGCGCCTTTGTCGCACTGGGTTTGTAAGGGGTCGCAGGACGGCAGGGCTAAAGGATAGAGAGGGGAGAAAAACGGGGAGAGCGAGTTTGTAGGTGCAAAGAGGGAGGATGAGAAGGAAATGGTGGGGCGAGGGGCGGGAGAGAGGGGGTAAGCGACGGCAGCAGGGCAGAAGCAGGTTGTGCGCGCGGATGGGGCAAAAGCTACCCTCCGCGCGCGCCTTGCGGTACACGTATGTGCATATGGGTGTGTCTGTCTGCTATGTGTGTGTGTGTATGTACGCGCGCGCGCGTGTGTATGCATGTATATGTGCGTGTGTGTGTGTGTGTGTGTGTGTGTGTGTGTGTGCGTGCGCGCGTGTGTGTGTGTGTGTATGTGTGTGTGTGTGTGTGTGTATGTGTGTGTGTGTGTGTGTGTGTGTGTGTGTGTGTATGTGTGTGTGGGTGTGGGTGTGGGTGTGGGTGCGTATAACGTCGTACAGCCGCCCCCAGGGGTTTCCCTTCTTCATTACCCGTCGCGTACAGCCGAGCAACCCCGCGCTGCGCTCGACAGCTCAGTTGTCCAACGCCGCGACGACGACACGGTTGCGCCACGACGGGCGGACACACACCGCAGCCGCAGCCGCTTACTCTCTTTCTTTCTCTTTCTCTCTCTCTCTCTCTCTCTTCCTCTCTCTATTTCTTTCTTTCTCTCTCTCCCCTTCTCTCTGCCTCTCTCTGTCTCTCTTTTTCTCTCACTGGGACCATCCCTCGACGAAGGGCCTACCCTACTTGTCAGCCTATATCTGCCTGCGTACCTCTTACTCACAATCGCCTCCATCGTCCACGTTTCTTCGGTCACGGAGGCCACGGAGGTCGGGTGTCAATCGCGACGGGAGTTCATCGCGTGCGCGTCGGCGATCCGTCGCCGGTCGTACGTCCAGGACATTCCGGGGAAACGCAACACGCCGAACCAACCGGGCTAACGTCTGTTAGCAGATACGCGTGACAATCGAGTGAAGCCGGTTCGCCGACGGGGGGGGATAATTACGCAGGTAGAGGCGCGACAAAAGTGTCCAGGATGCGCCGGAGGTGTGTGATCGAGACGGTGGAGTAGTGACTTGAGCCAGACGCATGCCAATTGGCGCGTACACTCTAGAAAGCAAAGTCGACAAAGCCAACCGGGACTTCGTAAAACGGATTCAGTCGCCAAGTGATCGCTCAGTTGGCGATCACATCTTTCTGAGACGGAACCTAACCGAGTCTCCGGTGCAGTCAGCGTCATCCACGAGCTGGATCACTCTAGCTGGAGAGAGAAGGTGCAAGGTAGCCGGCTAAGATAATCCTTGAAAGGCAATCCCTTCTCAAGTGGAGAAATGAAAGGAGAGGAGGCTTTCGCGGTGCGACAAGCTTTCCGCGCGCACTTCTCTAAATGAGGCCTAACTAGGCATGCGAGCTTCCCTACGCGTGTTGTCCAGTGCTCGCGTCGGGAACAGCAAGCTTTCGGCTCCGTACATCAGAGACGTCCATCGAAGACCGGCGTATGCGCGCGCGGGACAGTGCGTTCGTGACGAATGATAGACGAAGCAATCGGTACCTGAGCACAACGAAACGTTCATTCTAATCGAAGTGGAGAAGACAGGGACAAGAGTAAGTAAGGATCGCGCGCACCGCCGCGAGTGTAATTCTCGATAAGAGCTTTCGCGAGGAGCGCGTGTAAGAGCCGCGGAGCGCGCAGCGTTCGTTCGCCTTACCGACGGTCAGACGAACGTCAACCTCCACGTTCTTCAAGAAGGTAGTTCCTAGCGACACACCACGTTACTTAACTCGCTACAACGTAGTCGAGAATCGAGAAGATTCGAGGCGCGCAAACAGCACACGACATTGAGCGACATCGAAACATTACGCGCGCATTAAGCCCGTGTCGATGCGCGAAGGGGTTCCGAGGGTTTCCATGAAGATACGCTCGAGAACACCTGGCACCCGCAGTGGAGCTGCACAAACTTCCACGTCGCGACACGACGTGCGGCAGACCGACTTCCAACGGCCTCAGAACGAACATTCCGTAGTCCGGTGAAACGCTCGCGCACGACAAACACCGTCGGACGGCGAGCGTAATATCAGGGCCTATCAGGGACTCGAGAGCACAGCGCGATCAGTTCTTACGATTTTACGTGGGATCCCATCGAGAACAACGCCGACGACGGCCTCGTAAACTCACGCGCTCCACCGTGGACAATATCCACCGCGGTGCTCTCGTATTCTCGTGTACGGGACACTCACTGTACAATCACGGTACCTCCGAGACGTGCACACACGATCTGTGCTCGCCCTCGAGTCTCGAGGCTCGAGCACTGCCGAGGGGTCTCCCGAGGACGAACAACGGAACAACGATCTAACAACCGAACCAAGAGAGACCTAGACCTAGACACGTGCGATCGAGAACGCAATTAGACGCAAGCTCGCACCAAGCATCGCATCGAGTGCCAGTCAGGCCAGTAGCCCCAAGACGACCGAGAGCCCACTTTCTTCACGAGCATCTCAGTCTACTCAGGACGCTTAGCCCGGCGCTAAGCTATCGCGACGCTCCGCGACGTTCAGAGATATCGGCTGAAGATCTCGGGGCTATCCGTTCGCGAACGCGTGTGGCTGAGAATGTTGCGCGTTTGAGTCCGCGCGCGACCCCGCCAGCCCGCCAGGACAAACACATACGCACATACACACAGACACACACACACACACAGCACACACAGCGCGCGCACACACACACACACACACACTCACACGTACGCCACACACGCGCGCGCGCGCGCGCGCGCGCGCTGCAAGATGCCGCAGCAACAGCAGCGTTCGGCCTTCGCGATTCAGGAGCTGCTGGGCCTCGATGGCACCGGCAACAGGAGCGGTACCGATCGCGGCTCCCCGCAGGGCTCGCCGCCCGCCGGGGTGTCGGCCGTCTCGTACGCGCCGGCGGCGCCCCATCACTCCAAATTATGGGAGTACATGCCCAGCCTGAATCATCTCGGCAATCTTGGTAATCTGGGGAATCTGGGGAATCTGGGCAATCTTACGGCCTCGCGGATGGCCTACCTGAACGCGCAAGCGGCCGTGGCAGCCGCCTTTCTACCGCCGCCTCATCCCCACCCGGCGCACCACGTACCGCATCATCAGGTACATCAACCGGGCCAACTTCCGGCATCGCCACCCGGCGTCAACCTGCATCCCGCGGCACATGCGCAGCACGTACTTCCGGGCACGGCAGTCACCACGAATCATCATCAGCACAGTCCGACTCAACACACGCCGCCTCATGGTGAGTAAACGATGTTGATGTCCTCTGCTGCTCGACTGCTCATGGCTCGTCTCGAGTCATACAGTCGGGCCGCTTACTCCGCTATCTTTTCCTTGTTTAATCGAGCAACGGGATGGAACATTGCAATTTTCACATGCCACATTGGATAGTTGAGCAGATCGTTGCAGACAGCTGCTGCGCAACACCGTGCACCAATTTGAGAAGCGCATGTATTCCTGAAGCAACAATGTTTCAAGCGAATCGAGCGGATTTTCGCAGATACTCCAGGAGTATTTATTTCTCATACTTACTGTCTGCCTCCTTCCTCCACTCTCCCCCCCCCTCCCCCTCTTTGCCCTCTCACACTTGAGACATTTATTTCTTTGACGCATGACCTAATCATTCACGCCCCTCGTTATCTACTTAGCCATAAATGATTGATCCGCAAAGACGACAGTTATTTAAGCGGTGTAGTATCCGCCGTCTCTCTCTGTGTGTGTGTGTGTGTGTGTGTGTGACGCGAGACACGGCTTAATCGAGTATAATAACCGCTCTTGTACAATCTCGAATATCGTAGCGTATGATGCAGATGATACACAAGACCATCTCAAAGTTAAAACGATTGCGAGGATTGCCGGCCCTCCAGGGAATAATGTGCACTCTGTACGATCTTTCGGCTGCCGAGTGATGCAGTCGTGAATCGTCTGATATTGTTGTGATTGTAAAATTCGAGTAACCAGTCGTTGCGTAAATGTTAATGATGCTGGTACTCGAGGTATTGTCTTTCTGCTCTCTCTCTCTCTCTCTCTCTCTTTTATTTTTTTCTTTCTTTTTCGTATTTCTCTTTTTTTTTTAATCGACAGCATGATTGAGACTACAATGTACCGCGTGAATAAATCGACGAGATCAGAATTGTTAATAGTCTTACGAGCAACTACTTCTTGAGCGAACTGGGGACTCGATTATCTGCCGTGATGCATGGCAGTGCTATCGATAAATGGCGCTTCTTGCACGCGATACACACCACATGTATCGATACGCAACATCAGGAATCACGCGCTAATCGTGTACGAGATGGAACTTATGACCCTCCGCGCCGCACGCGGCCGCCGAAGTAAATTAATAGGCGTATCGTCGTCCTGGCGTGAAACGAGCACTTAACCGCCACTTACAGCTATCACTTAACAGAGAGCCACTCAAGATCGTGTTACCGAAAATCGATACACGCACCTTTGTCGCGCGCATCCACGCGCGCCTCTCGACACATTGTGTCGTACGCACGGCTCTCGCGGATCCGGGGGAATTTTTGGGAAAATGGCATTCAGCCGTCAGCTGCCTCGCCGCGTTTCGCCGATGCAATCGTTCACGAGCTGGGAAATGAGAGAAAGAGAGTGCACTTGAGCGGCTTCCATCGCGCACTCGATCGCGAAAGCTGCAAACTTTTCTATCAGCCGGCTATCTCGATTTGCCGTTGACTCGAGCGACATCGCATTTAGCCGAGTCGAAAGTCTAGGCGCCGCTCCCTCTCTCTCTCTCTCTCCCCCTCCCCCTTTCTCTCCATGTAATTCGAGTCCGTTTTTCCCGTTTCCCATAACGCGTCCACAAATAAGGATCACCGTCGGTGTGAAGATTTGTTTACGTACGAACTACCACAACGTGTATTCGCAATTCGTTGGGTCGCGTAACTCGTAATAATTGATGATAAGGTCGCAAAATGTGCGAGATCGGGACGTTTAACGGTGACAGATTTGCAATATCCACGAGTGCTTCGGCGGGCAATAATGAACACATACTTACAAGCTGCGCAGCTTTTTTTTTAAAAGTGTCTGTATCGAACGAACGAAACATCGTTCGTTTTTCTTGGCGCATTTGAACGCGGCAAGGACTCATGACATTGGCGCGCGCTCGTGAAATTAACAGAAACATGCCACGTGTTTGTCCGAAACGGGAAAGTAAAGAGGTGGTAAACAACCTCGATCGAGAGGAGTCTTGAACGCATGTTGACGTTAGAAGAGAGGATGCGGCGGAGAGGCGCGGCCGCACTGTGGGAAATGATTATTTTCGTCGGGGTAATCCCCGACGTTATGAATAATTAGTGATATAATGAGCTGAGTGTTAGAGGCAGGTCCGCGCGATGTCTCACCAAAACACAAAGAGCATCGACAAAACGTAAAAATGGCCGTCCGCCAGCCGACTGTTCTCAACTTGCATTGCGCGGCGTGCCTATGCCGAAATAAACGCAGAAGCTGAAATTATCGGTTGTGGCGTGAAGCAGAATATGAATTACTTGAAATTCGATTGTAATCTAATTCGTTTAAAGCAATATATCAGCTAAATGTTTTAGATTTAATCTGATTTATTAGAGATTTACATATTTTTATTATGCGAGATTTACACGCGGAAAAATTATGATTCTTCCTCCACGTGCCGCATATATCCTTTTCTTCTTTTCTCTCTTTGAATACATACACAAATGCGAGGAGTTTGCATATTATGTGTGTGTGTGTGTGTGTGTGTGTGTGTGAATTTTTAATATACAATTTCAAATCTCAAAATGTCTCTACAAGTTATTCTACCATGTGTAAAATTATAGCGTTAGGTTATAGTGTAGTCTTTCTTTGGTCACGCTGCATTGCGAAAATTGTCCATGATCAATTTCTGTCGAATACTCTCAACATGTCATTTTATCGCTACTCAAGCGAATCGGAGCGGTTTCACGGCGCGAAATGAATTTTGAGAACGATTTTCGGGTGTCGGGTTCCAGACGGGGCACAAAGGATCTGCGGTTCCATTCAAACGTCACTCTGGCACCTCGTCTTACAGCATTTATTTGGTGTGCTCGGTTCGTTCCTTTTTGTCTTAAATCTTAGACGGACTTAAAGACGAGAGCACAGACCGGAATCTAACTACCGTTAGTGTACCGACCGTTCGATTCGCCCGCGACACACGACATACAATTGTACGTTGTGCCTCAATCGATGTATAATTTTAAATTCGCCAGCCCCACAAATTTACTCGTCCTTCGCGATCCTTCGTAGTGCATAAAAAATATTTGTATCGCATTTCGCGATGAGAGAGAGAGAGAGAGAGAGAGAGGGAGGGAGAGAAAGAGAGAGAGAGAGAGAGAGAGAGAGAGAGAGAGAGAGAGAGAGAGGGCAAAATGTCCGTTAAACACCACGTACGTAAAATTGACAAAGAAGTCGTAGAGACACCGCGAGGAAACAACGAAGAGAGAGACAACGGGACGACAACGACAACATGTGGCTCCCCTACGTAGGTGAACGATCGCGTCGTGTCGCGTGAAACGTCCTATAGCTGTTGCGGAACGGGGAAGCGAAAACTAGGCAGAGAGACGTTTCATTGTTCTAAAAATTCCGAGATTCACGACCGCTTGATTCACGCCTTTGCTTTTCTCCTAACGGTTCATACGGCGCGTCGCGTCGCGTCTCAGAGCTGCTTTTTCGGGTCGTTTGAAGTCGGCAATCAACTAAATTGCCTATCAACGCCTGAGAAGCCCGTTCACACGCACTTCCCTTCTCACCCGTCGCTTTTCTTCCTCTTCCCGACCGCCGCGTGCCCTTCTCTTCCTTTCTTGCTCGCTCGCGATACCTCGTTGGTATCGTCGACGGCGTTGCACGGCTTGCTTTTCTACACGCAGATTCTTTCTCTCTCTCTCTCTCTCTCTCTCACTTGCATTTTTCTTTCACCTTCCCCCTCGCATAACATTGTATCGCGACTAAGGCCCGACCAACCGAACGCTTTTGCGTCAATCGTCACGCAATAAGACAATTTTTCTCTCGAACATTTATGAAATCAGAGTAACGAAATACGTAGAGACTAATCTCATATTGGTAGTTCAAGATTGGAATTTGGGCTCTAGCCTAGCTAAAGTTTGAATCAGACACATAACATTGTTTGGATGTTGAATAATAAATAATATTTCGTGTATCTTGAAAATATGATGTATCACTTCGCACGTTCATCGTCCTGGCTCCCCGATTCAGCATGACTCCCAAATCTTCCGCCGTGACAATGACACATTGGTATTGACGTCGGAACTGACACTGACATTGACACTGACATTGATATTAACGCTAACGCTAACATTAGCATTGATACTAATACTCTTGCAAATGCGATTCATAATCGAAGAAACACAGTGTTTCAGATAACGTAATGCCGACAAGATTCCGACAAAATATTTCCAGAACCGACAGAATATTATTTATTCTTTTTCCTATTTATCATACTCGATAGAAGATTGATAACTGATTACCCAATATACGCGCGTTCCGCGGTGTACGTATCGATCGTCGGCCCGAAATATAATGAAATAATACGCAAAAAGTACACGAGCCATTGAAATCGATAATTAATTATCAAATCTCTCGAATAATCGCAGCTTTCAAATAAAGGCGGCAAATAATTTGCAACATTATAACAATCATGAACGTAGAAAGTTTATTTACACGTTCTATGCTATATGTTACTTCTCTATTACGTTATATATTATATATTACATACTATCTATATTATATATATATATATATATATATATATAATTAAATATTTTATATTTGCTTATTTTACATACGCTGACTCTATACTGGTTCCTCATGTTCGACAAAATTTCGAGGCCAAAATTCCAGCTCGAATTAGACAATATGTTGTGACATATGAATGAAGCAAACAGAAAGTGGTTGACTCAGTTTCCTGATGGATGTTTCATTAGTATTTTTCTTGACATTTGGGCCATTCTAGCAGTTCAACTTAGAGATATCGCTAGTGAATCGCGCGTATTTTGCGTCTAAACGACATGAAATATTCGTATACTCGAAGCACCAAGGTTACCGGCTCATTTAAACGATTCGATCCGCGCGACTCGCCCGCGTATATCCGCGTCTGAGTACTGCGGCCTCAAGAACAAATTAGCGGGTTATAAATTCGTTGGCGCTTTGTTTCTCGGGAGGGAAAGTGCCGAGCGCGGCTCTGGCGCGTAAGAGACTCGCGGCGTCGACTAC